ACTCATATGTGGAATTTAAGAAACAAAACAGAGGAACATAGGTGAAAAAAAAGAGAGGCACACCAGGAAACAGATCTTAACTATACAGAACAAACTGAGGGTTACTGAAGGGGAGGGGGGGATGGGCTAGATGGTTGATGGGTATCAAGGAGGGTACTTTTTATGATGAGCACTGGGTGTTGTATGTAAGTGATGACTCACTAAACTCTATACCTGACTAATATGTTAACTGTATGTTAACTGGAATTTAATAAAAAATTGAAAAAAACCCTACAATGAGATATCACCTCACACCTATCAAAATGGCTAAAATCAAAACACTAGAAACAAGTGTCGGTGAGAATGTGGAGGAAAAGGAACCCTTGTGCACTGTTGGTGGGAATGTAAACTGGTGCAGCCACTGTGGAAGATAGTATGGAAATTCCTCAAAAAATTAAAAAAAGAACTACACTATGATCCAGTAATAGCACTACTGGGTATTTACCCAAAGCATACAAAAACACTAATTCAAAAGGATAAACGTGGCCCTATTTTTGTTTATTGCTGCATTAACCAATGCATAGCCAAATTATGGAAGCAGTCCAAGTGTCCATCAATAGATGAATGTATAAAAAAGAGGTTTTATATATATCATGTAATATTATTCAGCCATAAAAAAGAATAGAATTTTGCTATTTGCAACAGCAAGGATGGAGGGAGAGAGTATCATGCTAAGTGAAATAAGTTAGCGAGAGAAAGACAAATACCACATGATTTCACTCATATATGGCATTTAAGAAACAAATGAACAAAGGAAAAAAAATAAAGAATGAGACAAATGAAGAAAGAGACTCTTAACTACAGAGAATAAACTGATGGTTATCAGAAGGGAGAGGGTGGGGGGATGGGTGAAATAGGTGAAGGGGGTTAAGATTATGATTAGCACTGAGTAATGTATAGAATTGTTGAATCACTATATTTTACACCTGAAACTAACATAAAACTGTATGTTAACTATACTGGAATTAAAATAAAGAAATAAGAGTGGGCTATAAATATACATTAATAACATCCTTTGAAAAGCAAATAGAAATATGATCCTAAATTTCAATATCTATTGACTTTTGTCTCTTGTTTTTGGTTTTCATTTTGTAGGCTCTGTTTTCCACTGTTTAATTAAAAATTATGAAATACATACAGCTTTGGTTCCTAGTAGCATACTTCTCTGGCTTAAAAAGCAAAAGATGACATAAGAGAATTTTCCATCTTAAATTTTGTTTCCCAGTTCAGCATAAATTACATTCACAAAACCAGTTACATACTTTTGCTTGATGTATTACCTCGTCTGACTTGTCAGCCTGAAGTTGACAATAGATTCCTTAAATAAACCAACCCCTTCAATATCAATGACATCATCCACATCAGGCTCAGTACCAACCAATGTTATGGGAAACTTCCAGATCCCATCTGTTATGCACTCTATTTTCAGAGTAATTTGAGTCCTTGAATAGAAAAAAAAAAAAAAAGATTATAAAGGATACTATAGGAAAACAAGCAAAAAGAGAATACGATATAGTAGATCAATATCTAGGTTGAAAATGTAAGCAAACCTGGTGGTTTTAGTAAAACACTGGGACTTGTAATTCTTTAAAAAATGTAGATGACTGTTAATTACATTCTAGGAATAACTTTTAGGTCTTTGGTTATATTATCAATCTCCCTGTAAGATAATTATTTTCTAGCACAGCTTATCTACTCTGTGGGTATTTACTAAGAACCAGTAAAATTTTTTTGTAACGAGCGCAAATTTTTTGTAATGAGCACAGAGTATGATAATATTTAAGAATCCAAGACGAGGCTAGCAAAAGGCCACAGGTGTTATACAAACAGGTCTTCTAGGGGCACCTGGGTGGCTCAGTCAGGTAAGTGCACGACTTCGGCTCAGGTCATGATCTTGTGGTTTGTGAGTTCGAGCCCCGCATTGGGCTTGCTGCTCTCAGTGAAGAGCTTGCTTCGGATTCTCTGTCTCTTTCTCTCTCTGCCCCTCCTCTGCTCTCTCTCTCTCTCTCTCTCTCAAAAAGTGAATAAACATTAAAAAAAAAAACCCAAAACCCAAATAGGTCTTTCACCATAAAGAAATTTTCTGTTCAAAATGAAACATTGTGAAAAAGTTTTTCCAATTCTTGTTTCACATAGAAAAATTATATTTTCTGTGGACACTCACAAAAGCTCATAAAATTGACTTAAAGGCTTTTAAAAATTAAATTGCAATTTTAATTTAAATTAAAATACCACAAACACTTTACATAATGAGATATAATTGAATGTCAGCTGAGTTAATGAAATGAATAGAGATAGCCTTTCTTTTTAATTTTTTTTTCAACGTTTTTTATTTATTTTTGGGACAGAGCGAGACAGAGCATGAACGGGGGAGGGGCAGAGAGAGAGGGAGACACAGAATCGGAAACAGGCTCCAGGCTCCGAGCCATCAGCCCAGAGCCTGACGCGGGGCTCGAACTCACGGACCGCGAGATCGTGACCTGGCTGAAGTCGGACGCTTAACCGACTGCGCCACCCAGGCGCCCCTAGAGATAGCCTTTCTAATCATTTGGCTATGAAGGAGAGTGGACACATGGAGCAATGGGTGAAACCGAGGAATGGTTACTTGTTTGTTTGCTGGCTTAGGGTGGAAATAATGCAAACATGTAATGGTGTGGCTGCAATATCCTATGTCAGGTTGGACAAAGAAATCACAATCCTTTTATATAAAACTCTCAGAAAGAACAGCAGGTAGAGTTTCAGGAGAAAGTTGAGCTAAGCTTATTATTTCTTAAGATATCCTAAGACAAATGATATCAATTATTTCTCTATTTATTAAAAATATGTTTAGCCCTGTGTTAAGTGAGAATCATCTGACTCATGACCACAGTAACTAAAGATCTCTCACGTTTTTGTATTAGATCCTTGATTTTTATTGAAAGAAAAGGTCAAGACCTGTAGAAATAATCTTTTATTTGTTTGTTTTTGTAAAACCACCTTTTAGGGCCCTGACAATTATTTCTTTTTTTTAACGTTTATTTATTATTGAGAGACAGAGACAGAGAGCAAGCACGAGAGGGGCAGAGAGAGAGGGAGACACAGAATCCGAAGCATGCTCCAGGCTCCAGCTGCCAGCACAGAGCCCGATGTGGGGCTCGAACCCGCAAACTGTGAGATCATGACCTGAGCCGAAGTCAGACGCTTAACCGACTGAGCCACCCAGGCGCCCCAATGACAATTATTTCTTTTTTCAAATTTTTTTTTTAACGTTTTATTTATTTTTGAGACAGAGAGAGACAGAGCATGAACGGGGGAGGGGCAGAGAGAGAGGGAGACACAGAATTGGAAGCAGGCTCCAGGCTCCAGGCTCCGAGCCATCAGCCCAGAGCCCGATGCGGGGCTCGAACTCACGGACCGCGAGAGCGTGACCTGAGCCGAAGTCGGCCGCCCAACCGACTGAGCCACCCAGGCGCCCCGACAATTATTTCTATTATATATAACACTATCCTGTGAAAGGATGAATGTGAAACATTACATTGTATTAACTGCTGTGAAATAATGTTATATTTTCTCTTTACCAAAACATGAAAATTTTGTTTTCTTTTTTTACCTTGCCAAACAGGAAGATTTGAAGTCAATACTTATTTTACTTATCTAGCATGGTTTAGGTGTAGTTATTTTCTTGTTCTTTTTCATAATTTAATCTTTTTCATAATTTTATTTTGGTTTTTCTCATTTAACTGTGTGTCTTCCAGTGAATCATCCCAAATAAATAATGAAGGAATTATAAAAGTAAATGAATATACACATATATGCACAAAAGAGATTAAACTACATCAGAATGTTATACAATGCTCACAAAAATTTATGAATCATGCATACAAGTCGTCCCAAATCAGTTTTTCAAATATTCACCAAGAAGCTCTAAATCCACAAAATGTTGAATGAGTATAAATTCACACTGGTTGTGCTCTTAAAAATAATTTTTTTAATGTTTATTTTTGAGACAGAGAGAAAAACCGAGTGTGAGCAGGGGAGGGGCAGAGAGAGAGGGAGACACAGAATCCGAAGCAGGCTCCAGGCTCTCTGACTTGTCAGCACAGAGCCTCACATGGGGCTCGAAGCCACAAGCCGTGAGATCATGACCTGAGCCGAATGACACTCAACCGACTGAGCACCACCCAGGCGCTCCTATTTGGAAGCAGTCCAAGTGTCCATCGACAGATGAATGGATAAAAAAGAGGCTATATATATATATATACACATATATATATGTATATATATATACA